TATATAAATATATAATTATTTTTTCCCCCTTAATGAAGTGAGCCGGATTGAAGTCACCAGCGGGATGGAAATGGTCCACGGGCCGCCAGTTGAAATAGCCTTGGTTTAGTTATACCACAGTTGTAAAACGTCTATTTAAGAACTAGAAAATTTCTGTCATATCAGTTTTGAAGTTTAAACTGTTTTCAAAACATTGTCTGAAATGGTGCAATGAGTTGTCAAGTCACATGCAGCTTATATTGATATTTTACTTCCTCCGCTGGTTTGTGTGAGGTCACGGTGTCAGTCAGCTGTGTACAATGATTAAGGGAAGATAAATCCCTGATCTTTTCTCCTCGTTAGTTAAAAAAAATGAAGTCAGCTGTTTACAAATTTAGGTAAGTAGTGAAATCACAACTGACAGTGGCTTAGTCATCAGAGGACCAAAAAAAACAATTTTAATTTTATTATTAAGAAAAAAAAAAAAAAATCTGAATTTTCAGTTATTCTGTTTTATTTAAGCCAGTAAAGATCAAGTAAAAATACAATAAAATTTAGAATTTTAGTGCCATCATAGTTTTTATTTGTGTTTAAAATCAGTGTTAGTTGTGAGTCTAAATAAATTCTGGGGAAATAAATTCAAGAATGCTGGTTTTAATTCCTTCTTTGCCGAGTTAACCAAACTGTGGTAGCTTTACATCTTTGGTGCAGGCTGACTAAAACAACAAAAACCAGGGAGACTTACTGCTGATGCAACAAATTACAACTAGGAAAACATCTGTATTTTGCAAAATAACAGTATATAGAAGTGCAGTGCAGTAAATGACTTACAGTAAGATAAACACTTCAGCTAATCTTGCCGACACAAAAATGAACTGATAAGTGAAGAATGCTGCTATCAGGTCAAGAGAAGGAAACAAAAACAGTTCAGGTACTTTTAACTCTTCCCTTAACATTGTGTTAAATCAAACTGAATAAGTGGTGCCGTTTGAGAAGAGAAAAGTGACAGATAGTAAACTGAATGTGAGCTGAGAAGGAATCTGTTGTTAAATCTGCATTTTTCATGTCACTTAAAAAAAAAAAAAGTCAAAAGCTGGAAAGTTTGGTCTTCCACTCTCTCTCCCAAGTACAGTAAAATGTCCAACCATTTTCAAGTAAAAGCACAATTACCGGTAAACGCAATAACAGTCAACAAAAAAATCTATTTTAGGATGCAAAAGAGCAGAAGCGGCAGGATCATTGGACCGCAATGGAAATAAGTGTTTTCACTTTCTTATGTTATCCAAGTATTTAAAATTTAAATGGACTGTACTTATACATCACCTTTCTATGTTATTTCAAGATACTCAAAGCGCTTTACACTACTATCTTTGTCCTCATTTACCCATTCATACAGCACTCTACTAGATCTCTACAAAGCTAATTGAATAAATCATTCTAAAGAGACTAATCAGTGCTTTAGATCACATTCATACACTGATAGGACACACATCAGACTCAATGAGGGGTTCAGTGTCTTGCCCAGGGACACTTCGACGTGACTGCTAGCGGATTCGAACCCCAAACTCTCGCATTGGAGGACGACTGCTCTAACCACTCAGCCACAGCCCTGGATGCACTATGTATATATACCATACCATACCAATTTATTTATAGAGCACTTAAAACAGCAACAAGGCCAACCAAAGTGCTGTACAAAAGAAAACAAACATGCACAGCGGACAGGAAAGCATAAAATAGAAAAACAGATACAAATAGCAGCAGAAGCTAACTAAAATGGCCAACAGAGTAGAGAACAGACCGGACCAAAACAAATCATATATATATATGTATGCATAGTATACATACTAACCTGTATAAATAAAGGTTGAATGAATGAATATATGCACAATCATTATTTTTACTAAATAAATCATATAAAATGAAAACTGTACTATTACTATAAAAACTGGATGTATATTTTGTGAGATTAAAGATAAATTTGCTCTATCTGGCATGGCAGAGAGAGATGTTCTTTTCCACAAGGACATTTTATATTCCAAGAGAAACACCCATTACTATCTCCAGGAGGCCACAACTCCCTGTGGGACGTAGACAGAAACACAGCGACTGTATGACATAAAAATCTGTTTGCTTTGTGTTACAGTATTAAGATGAATCACAGAGATGGAAGGTTTTCAGTTGATGAAGGAGGAGGAAAACAACATCTTAATTCGGGATATCTGCAGTACAAATGATGACAGTCAAGTCTTGTTATCCATTCAGCAACTCCCACACACAGTATGCTCTGTTCAGGAGATGTGGTCACACTGCAAATATTGGATCCCAGAAGCTAATGTTAGCTCCCACCAGCTAATAATCAAAGCATGACCATGACCACACTGGTTCCTGAGCAGCTCACAGAACAGTGTGGCCACATTACCCACCCCTACTTCACATTTCTGGTCAATCACATAATACTTGATGCAAATCCACCGGAGAGAAAAGTTCTGCCCAGACCTTGTGTCAAGAACAGGCTCTCTGAGTTTTTAAGAAAACAAAATTAAAATTTTTGTCTTGCACCTGCCTCAGAGAATTTTTTTTCCTTCTCACGATGTATAAATTCAGTTTAACGCTATAACACCAAAAACAAAACTGTGTGACAGTGAGAGAGTAATGTACATTCATAAGTAAATGTCTACATTTAAAAATTATGGTATTCTTATGCTAAATGCCTACTGTAATATTTACTAAATACTGTAATTTGTACAGCTAACCAAGACAATAATACTAGTACCCTTATTGTTTCAGGAGAGAAAGAATACCAATGGAAAATGGAAAAGAAACAGAAAATAATAATATTTTGCTACAGTATGAAAGATCAATATAAGTAACATTCTGCAGCAAACTGTCCTTGTGCAACCCAAACCATTCACACCCCTTTGACCAAACTGAATCTGGCACACCCTGTGAGCTGCTGATCTCACTTCTGTCAAATTGTTTCTCTTCTTCAAAAGTGGCTTCCACATTATCTTTACAACTATGACACATGACTTCTCACACTAAAATATGGTCACAAAAACTGAATTACATAAGGTTTGCTACTTAGACTAAGATAAGATTAGACTAAGATAAGATATAAGATAGTTATAAAAAATATTTAGTTATATGCAAAAATCTGGCATAAAAAAAATTCTACCTTTCACCCTAAGAGACATGCCCTGATTCTCTGCACTGCTGCTAAAAAAAAGAAAAGAAAAATCAGATCATCCTCCAGGCACTGCTGAGTAAAAATGAGATTGCATTTGTGTCTTATTTTGGTAGCAGACTGAAGCGTGGAAGAAAACCAGTTCTTAAATCAACTAGGAACCTCAGGTTTTCCAGTACTCAAAAAGTATGATAAATGCAAAGCATTTACCTACATTATAATTAACTAAATTTAAATTTTTTATTAATAAAGAATAGCCAATTTGGCCCCATGAGAGAGCTCAGCTTACCTTTCACCTGAACCACAGGAGATACAGCATGAAGAGGTCTCTCTGTTGGATCAGTCTGTCTCACCTGTAGACATAAAATTGTAACAATATATTTTTTTTTAACTCAGACAGTATAAAAGGACATAATGGTCTCACCCCTAAAATTTGCCCTTCCTATGCATCTCCTGGTTATGTCACAGTGCTAAAGTTCCACCTTATTTAACCCCACTTATGGAAGGATCATCAGCTAAAATGTCTCAGTTCTCCATCTGAACACACAACAGTTACTCAGTCACAGAACCTCATACAAACCATTGAAACTGTCTATAACAAACGCCCTTAAAATGTATGTGAACGTTGTCAAAAACACACTCAGTTAAGAACAAACAATATTGTATTACACTAGAAATGCATGCACTAGTAGGATGTGAACCTTGAGAAACAGGAAGGGATGTTGTAGAAATTGAGGTCTTGCTCTTAAAAAGTTACCGTATATTTGACAAAACATATACTCTTGTACAACAAGAGGTCACAAAGGTGCAAGATTTAAAGTACTTTGTGTCCACTGTCCAGGAAAATGTGGAATGTAGTAAAGAAGTGAAAAAGAGAGACCAGGCAGGATGGAGTGGATGGAGAAAAGTTTCAGGAGTGATTTGTGACAAAAGGGTGTCAGCAAAGGTCAAAGGAAAAGTTTACAAGACAGTGGTGAAACCAGCTATGTTGTATGGCCTGGAGACAGTGGCATTGACAAAAAGACAGGAGAAAGAACTGGAAGTGGCAGAAATGAAGATGCTAAGGTTCTCCTTAGGAGTGACAAGGATGGATAAGATTAGGAATGAGATCATCAGAGGTACAGCACAGGTTGAACAACTGGGAGATAAAGTTAGAGAGACCAGACTGAGACGGTTTGGACATGTCAAGAGGAGGGACAGTGGGTATATTGGCAGAAGGATGTTAGAATTAGAAATTCAGCTGCCAGGAAAAAGACAAAGAGGAGATATATGGATGCAGTTAGAGAGGACATGAAGGTAGTTGGACTGAGGACAGAGGATGCAGAGGATAGAGTGGGGTGGAGGAGGATGACTCGCTGTGGCGACCCCTGAAGAGGGAAAAGCCGAAAGAAGAAGAAGCTACTCTTGTACAACTAAAAAAGTTTTACCAGCATGTCTGATTTTAATTTGCCTTCCCTTAAAATGTCTTACATTCATACTTGTGTAAAAATAATGCATTCATTTATAACTATGGTGCTTGTGATAAAACCTGTTTAAAAATATATAGAGACACAAAACAGCAAGTCAAAAAGCTCCATGCACAATCCCACATACTTGTAATATTCAACAAATACTGTTTATTAATATATCTTAAAAGTTTACATATATACTTCAACTGCAACATAAATATTGTACCAATTTTAATTAAAACCATGGTTCTCCTCAGATCCAGGAGGAACAATGCGGGTTCCCTCCTGGCCGTGGAACACTGGACCAGCTCTTTACCCTCACTAGGGTCATCAGGGGGTCATGGGAGTTTGCCCATCCAGTCTACGTGTTTTGTGGATTGGAGAAAGCATTTGATCATTTTCCTCAGGGTACACTGTGGGGTGTGCTCCGTGAGTATGGGATTGGGGGCCTGTTGTTATGGGCTGTTCAGTCCCTTTACAAGCAGATTCTGCCAGGGCTGCCCATTGTCACCGATTCTGTTCATAACTTTTATGGACAGAATTTCTCGGTGGAGTCTGGGACCGGAGGGTTTCCGGTTCGGTTTTCTCAGGATTCCATCTCTGCTCTTGATGTGGCCCTGTTGGCATCATCGTGCCGTGATCTTCAGCTCTCACTGGAGAGGTTCACATCCGAGTGTGAAGCGGTTGGGATGAGAATCACCAGCTCTAAATCTGAGGCCATGGTCCTCCACCGGAAAAGTGTGGATTGCTCTCTTCAGATCGAGGGTGAGGTTCTGCCTCAAGTGGAGAAGTTCAAGTATCTCGGGGTTTTGTTCATGAGTGAGGTAATAATGGAGCGTGAGACTGACAGATGGATTGGTGCAACATTTGCAGTATTGCAGACTCTGTACTGGTCCACTGTGGTGAAGAGGGAACCGAGCTGTTAGACAAAGCTCTCTGTTTACCGGTCAGTCTACGTTCCTACCCTCACCTATGGTTACGAGCTCTGGGTAGTGTCCGAAAGAATGAGAATGTGGATACAGGCGGTTGAAATGAGTTTCCTCCGCAGAGTAGCTGGACTCTCCCTTAGAGACAGGGTGAGAAGTTCAGTTATCCAGGAGAGACTCAGACTAGAACCACTACTCCTCTACATTGAAAGAAGACAATTGAGGTGGTTCAGGAATCTGGTAAGGATGCCCCCTGGTTGCCTCCCTAGGGAGGTGCATCAGGAATGTCCGACTAGGAGGAAACCCCGGGGAAGACCCAGGACACGCTGGAGAGACTGTCTTTTAAATGGCCTAGGAACGCCTTGGGCTTCCCCCAGAAGAGCTGGAAGAGGAGGCTTTGGAAAGAGATGTCTGGGTCTCCCTGCTCAAACAGCTGCCCCCACGACCCGACTTTGGAACAAGCAGAAGATAATGGCTGGATGAATGTTTACAAGGTAAGTCTAATACCTGATAAAGTAAACACAAATCAGCTTTATCTCAGTCTCTTTTAAACAAACACTGTTTATAAGAGGATACAAATAACATGTTCAGTTTCACAAATAAAATATCTGCATTTTTTGTGAAGAGAAAATCTGATGTTAATAATAAAAAACACTGAAATACATACAGGCTTTATGTTTTTGCAATACATCACGTATTACACCACATGCAAGGGAACTTCACAAATGAAAAAAGCTCACATTCCCACTTGACTAAACTTGGCAATGACCCCCACTCTTAAAAGGCAGAAGGCCAAATAGACTTGAAGGATGAGTCCAATTCTGGGTAATAATCTACCGGAAAACCAATAAGTGTAAAATGGAAGTTGAAGTGGGAATTCCAATCAGTGCCTTACACCCTATCTTTGAGCAGAAGAGGAAGCAATAACACTGGAGCGTGTCTAATCTAAATAAGAAGTGAACTCAAAGAGCAGCAGAGAAATGACAAAAGACACAAAGCAGGAAGTGCAGAGGAGATCAAGCCAAACATACCATGAAGGATAAAAATGATGGAGATAATGAAAAAATTAACATAATTCATAAAAAAGGGCATTGACACAATGTTTTTGTATAAGGAGCACAGACTGAAAGCAGGAAAACTGTGACCCTGAAAGTTACAGCATTTAGAATAAAGAAAGCCAGCATTATTCAAGCACTCAACTCTTCAAGTTGTCTCATATTTCTTCACTTGGACTAGATCTTAGGACCAGTTTACTTTGTAAAGTAAACATCTTGCCACAGAGAAATGATGCTGTGATATTTCCTAGGTGCTTCAACTCAGCTATTACTAACTGGGTTAGATCTAATTCAGGGAAGACATTTTTTACTAGTCCTAAAGGAAAGGAAAAAAAGGTTATTGACTGCTGAAACACTGTGTCACATACATAATTTATGCCAAGCACTCTGAATGCTTTTCTGAAACATAAAACAAAGCAACACTTGCACAAGAACGCTGTTCCTTTGCCAACTCTCAAAACAGAGATCCAAGACTGGCTCATAAAGGAGGTCCAAGCCTGCCCCTGCCCAGTGATTTAAAGTCAGGTGTCTGGTGCAGTCCTATGTATGACACGATGAGAATGGTGCGAAGGACAATTTAAAGCTGGACATAGGCACCTGGAATGAGAATGGCAACAAACAGAAAAACAACACTGAAAGTTTGGATTTACTTGATATGATTTTATTCTTGAATTTCTCAATAATGTTGAATATTATAAACAATTGCAAAAGAAGATTTGCACAGTGTTGTGTTTTGTTTTTTCATCCCTTTTTATTAATCCTAAAAGGGGAAACACATTGAGTGATTATTTTTCTTTCACAAATACTGTAAATTTATCTGTGGCATAGTATTTTATAGAAAAAAATCTAATTGATGAGTGCCATGCTGTTCTGTTCTTTTTATACAGAAAAAGCCTCACAAATTATTACAGACTGATGTTTTCATCCTTTATGCATTTGAAACCTGTAACGCATACAGCAATATAAAAAGCAGCCACAGGAAAAGAAATGGAAGCAGAAACATAAATATGCTTGGGAAAATCAAAGGGAAATATGCAACAAGGAAATTATATTGAAACTGTAAATGTCAAATTTTAAGAAAACAAAAATCTATGTATAAAAATGAAAACATGAAAAATGATTAAGAAAAAATGTTTTATGGAAATATACAGCAGGAAAAGGCAAAGAAAAAGCAATAACAGAGACACTGATTTGAGCTTTTAACAGAGCTTTGACAAACATATATTTACTGAGGGGTTTATATATTTTTAATCATCAAAAATTAAATAAGGTCATCTGGACAGATTGAATGAACGAATGAATAAATGAACGATTGAATGAATAAATGAAGGATTGAATGAATAAATGAACGATTGAATGAATAAATGAACGATTGAATGAACGATTGATTGATTGATTGATTGAATTCCTTCCTTCCTTCCTTCCTTCCTTCCTTCCTTCCTTCCTTCCTTCCTTCCTTCCTTCCTTCCTTCCTTCCTTCCTTCCTTCCTG